GCCAAATGAAAGGGTTGAATCACTGCGGGGCTGGGAAATGCTTGCCCTAACGCCCAGCCTCAGGCTGCTGCCCCCGGGGTTGGAGCATCTCCTGCCGTGTTGATCCGCATTGGAGAACACGAGGTTGTGATGGGGAACCACTGGCTCGCTGCAGCTGCTCATCCCCTTGGGGTTTGCACCTCCTGGGAGGAAGATGAGGCTTGCAGGAGGGACGCCTTCACCCACGTGTGTGGGTGGGGGTGCAGATCTGGCCCCGTTCCGCTGTCCCAGGCTGTGCTCCTGCCAGGCTGTGCTCCTGCGCACCCGTCTGCGCTCTCCGAATCCGGCTCTTTGCCCAGGTGTTTCCGCCCCTTCCCAGCAGCTGGGCTGTCCTGTGCGGCTGTGCCTTGCACCAAGTCCTGGCCGCTGCCTCCTGCCCACAACCTCCAGGCAAGCAAGCCCCAGTCTCGCACACTCACTTATAGCAAAGCTGTGGGGCTTTTTTGGAAGCATAGACCTCAATCCTCTGTGTGCAGGAGACTAGAAGGCCATCAGTGGCACGGTTCTAGAATCATAGAATCATAGAATCGTTTAGGTTGGAAAAGACCTCTAAGATCATCAGGTCCAACTGTTAACCTAGCACTGCCAAGTCCACCACTAAACCATGTCCCTAAGCACCACATCTACACATCTTTTACATACCTCCAGGGATGGTGACTCAACCACTTCCCTGGGCAGCCTGTGTCAATGCTTGACAACCGTTTCAGAGAAGAAATTTTTCCTAATATCCGAGCTAAACCTCCCCTGGCACAACTTGAGGCCGTTTCCTCTCGTCCTATCGCTTGTTACTTGGGAGAAGAGACCGACCCCCACCTCGCCACAACCTCCTTTCAGGTAGTTGTAGAGAGCAATGAGGTCTCCCCTGAGGTTTAGGGACAGTGAAATGAGCTGGGCTGTCTGCCCCGAGCGTCAGCATCACCACTGCGCAGCGCGGCTGCCGTCGCCTCTGCTCGGCAGAGGGAGCATCGACCCCTCCGCACAGAGGCAGCTGGAGCACATCTGGCTGCCAGACGGGGAGGACTACAGCCAGCCTGCAGGCTCCTGAGCCTTAGGAGCTGACTCCAGCCCTCTCCCAGGCCTGGGGTCTCTGTCATGGGGCATTGCTGTGCCGGCTGCCCCCCTCTTTGCACTGGGGGGGATTTCCCCCCACGGAGCTGCAGAAGGACCAGGGGTTAAGCTGCCCGGGGAGTCCCACCAGCGATCAGAGCCCATGGCACTGACCCTGGGACTCCACTCTGGTTTGAAACTGCTTCTGTGCTTCAGTTTCTCCATCCGCAGCATTGCCTAAGCGATGCCGGGGGTGGGGGGAAGTTTTACTTGATGCTTTCCCTGGGGGAGGAATGACAGATCCTGGGGCTGAAGAGGGTGAATTACCACCTCCCTGGCAGCCTCCGCTGTGGCCATGAGGGTGCAGAGCCCAGGATGGTGGGCACAGGGATCTGGTTTGATTTTCCTTTCCCCTGTCCCTGCTTCCCCGGCAGCCACGGTCCAGGGCAGGAGCTCCAGCATCCCCATCCCTGGGGCAGGCATGCCGTGGAGAGCGGATCCGAGCTGGCGGTCAGGACCCCATCCCCCTAAGTGTGTGTGAGTGCCTGTGTGTGCACATTCAGGAGCTCATCCTTTGGGGTTTGCACAGCACATTAAAGCTATTCCCTTATCTAAGCACGGCTCAGGTGAGTGCTATTAGGGTTAAACATTAACAGTGGCAACGATACCCTCTCCCCACACAGCCATTGGCCCTGCCTTGATCCCAAAGCCGAAACCCTTCCCACTGGCCCCACAAATGGCTGCGTTTGGCTGCCCGAGCCTTTCCTTTGCCTGGTCTTTTGGGGACACGGAGAGGCTTTAAATGCATAGCGGGGCTGGAAGGGGCTAGCAGGCATCACCAGCATCCCCTTTGCACCCCATGCACCCCACCTGCGCTCCCCCCCGTGCAGCAGCAGCAGCTCCAGGCTATCCCGGTGCTGTGGGACAGCCCAGTCCACCTCCGATGGGCTTTCCTGGAAATGCGGGAGCGGCTCCATCCCTCTGCTTGGCCGTGCTCCCCGCTGCGGCACCAGGGTTTCCTCATAGGTACAAGGGCTCCCCGTAAGGAGCCGGGGTGGCTCATCCCGAATTTCCTCTTTCCTTTCACAAAGCCATAAAAAGTTTTCAGGAGTGAGTTAAGTGTAACCAAGCATTCATATTCAAGGTAGTTGAATTATTCATTGTCAATAGTATTTCTTGTGAGTCCTTTTCTTTTCCTTGTGAATCGCCTACAATACATTCCCGAATTCAGCAAACATCACCGAAACCAGCAATTAGTCGAGATGAATAACTTTCCATCTCTGGCTTGGTTGTGAGCCCTCTGCTTTGAGTCTTTGCTACCTGATACTGGGCAGCGAGAGACTGGTGCCCAGCTCACACGGTGACGGCTCGCCGGCACGGCCGGTTATCTGCCAGACCTGAGGCAAAGCACAGGCTTCATCAGGGATGAACGGTGACGGGGGAGCAACAAAGAACAAGCTGTGATGGATCTATTTACAGCTGCAGCAGGAAAGAATAATTCTTGCCGAAATTCTTGGCATATGTGGTATTCACAAACCGCCTTATTTCTTTATTCTTTAATTTTTTTTTTTTTTTACTTTATCTGTCAAGTCCATTGCCTTCCAGCTGTTCTTTTCTCTAAGCAGTGGTATTCAAATAGCAATATTGCAAATAAGAGCATTTTTAAGTCATTATCTCTGCAGAAAAGTTTTTGCTTTCAAATGAAAAAAAAACAGTTATATTTATATGAGAAAGACAAAAACTTGTAGGAGTCCCTGAGCCTGGAGCAGACAGAGGGAGCCCAGTTTCTCACAGAGCTGCTAAACCCCACATAAATCTCTGCTGGCGCCTCGTTTATTTGGTAACTCCCTGGGAATCACCGTGTTTGCAAATTCAGCACAGGTCTCTCCTGGGCTGGGATGCAGAAGTCCTCACCAACGAACCCTTCGCCTGCGGAGCGGCGAGAGGAGGCAGTGACCCCACGGGAAGGGCAGGGGTCCCATGGGAGAGTGAGGGGAGAACGTGGGGTCCCGCGTGGGCCAGGTGCCCCCGGCATCGCTCCAGCCCCGCACTGTGCTGCAGTCAGTTTTGTTTCGAGCTGCCATGGCCGACATGTGCCAAAGAGGAGACAAATGCCCAGAAATGCTGCTGTAGACCCCTCTTGCACTAAATCGCTGCATTTCATCCACTTATCTGCAGACATCGCCATACACATCTTGTTCAATCAAATTACCTTTTTTACCTTGTTTTTACCTGCAGGGTCACCCTGTGTGGCCAGAGGCAGGTTTGCTCTCGGCAGTGATGAGGAGGGATTTGGATTTGGTGTTTGCTTCCAAACAGCCCCAGCATGAGCTGGGCTCTCTGCTCTCTAAAGTGGTGACTGAATTCATCACATCCCTCAAATACGAGTTAGTGACTAAAGCCCATCCCTGGTGCTGGGAGATTTGGTTTCTACTCATGGCCGTGTTGCTGTCTTGCCGTGCTCCTATCTTCCTCCCTTTGGTGCTGCTTGGGGACCGCGATGAGACCCTCGGCCACCCCGGCCAGCCCCTGGCATCATCCCACTCATGTTGTGCTGAGCCCGTGCCAGCACCTACTTTCAGGAGCAATGGCAGGAGGACACTGAGAGTGACATAGTCATGGAAATTGAATTGCAGGGCTGCTGCTTTTGCGCCTGGGAGCACTGGGGTCAAGTCCCAGCAGGGTGAGACGCCTCCCGTGCCCACCCCGGCTCCCACATGCACCCAGGCTGCACACACACTCATGCGCTTCCACACGTGGTTTGGTTGGTGGCCAGTGGCAGGAGCAGGACCTTTGCTGGCTTTTGCTTATTTAGTAGAAAACCAGCTGCCTTTTGGCATCCCATGGGATGCTGCAAGGGAAATGACCCCAGGGGAGCCCCTCTCCCACATGCAGCGTACCGCGGCCGTGGGTTGTCCTGTCCCCAATGATCTTTTACATTTATCTTTCAGCATAAGGGTGGCTTAGGAAAGTCCCCATCTCCTTGCAATGGGGAAGCAGGGGAGAGACACCCTTAAAAATAAAACTGAGTTGGTTGAAAAACAGATTTGCAGCCTGGGGCTTGGGGTTTTGCTGTGTGGAGATTCTCTGATGTCTGATTAGGGTTGAGTCCACTCTGGAGTCTCTGAAGCACAGTTTTGCTCTGCGCCACCCGAACTCCTGCTTCCACTAGGATGGTCAGAATTTAATAATATTGCTAAGACATCTAGATGTCAGTCAGATTTGGCCCAAACTGACGGATGTGCCAAGGACTTGTTAGGGGGAATGGGTGAACAGAATGGCAGGCACACAAAGATCCCCTTTCCTGGGGGAAGCAGGCTGCAAGCGAGGTTATACAGATTGCTGGGTCATTAGAAATCCCTCCCTGCACATCCACAGCAGTGATGGGCAGTATCCTGTCCATGCTGGTACATGCAGGGCAGCCCCAGGGAAATCCATGGAGCTGTTCTGGGCTTGTTCCTGTCCCTTTCCATGGCAGCACTGCTCTCAGCAGCAGAAATTCAGGAGAAGATGAGCAAACGTGTCTGCCAGGCAAACAAATGTCCGGGTTCCCAGTCGGAAGGACAGTGGTTGCTCAGCTGAAAGCATGGCTCCGTCAGTCCCAATGCCCTGGAACGGCATTTTGTTATTTCAGGTGGAGAAGCAAATATTCACAGCTGTGTTTATTCCCTGCCCGTGGGCTCTTCTGCAGAGGACTTGTCAGCAAACTGCTGGGCATGGGCTATTTTTTACAGTATTTTTCTGCTAGGAAGTGGCAGGTGCTGCCTCTTGCACAGAGGAGATATGGGGCTCGATGGCCCCAAGCTCTGCCTGCATCTGGCCCCAAGGTGAGATCTGGGCTGGCTTTGGTCAAACAAAATTGGCCCACGGATCCAGTCCCTGGAAGTGCTTGTGCACTATGTGGGCTTTCTTCAGTGCATCTTTAAGGACTGCACCAAATGAACAAGCTGCTGCACTCCATCTGAGCTCGGTATCGGGAGGAGGAAAATAACCCTCTTGGTGGACAGAAATGCTGTCATCCGTGGGCTTTCCCTCTTTCCCCTGTCCTGATCTGTGTGCCTTTGAGTGATGGCACCTTGGGTTTGGGCTTCCTGGCAAAGATCTGGGCTTCCCTCAGCCCTCCCAGGCTGTATTTGTGCAGGCAGCTTGTCCTCAGCCCACTGCAGGGCTTGCAACTCTGCTCCTCTCAGGGACGATGTGTCATGGCATGTGGGATTTATAGTCCATCTTCTCGGGATGCCTCTGAATCCTTCCTGTTCTTTCTACCAAGCGATTTCCCCAATGCCCAGGTGCTTTCCAACACGGAGAAACACCCTGGTGCTACCCAGGGTAGGCATTAAATCCAGTAGGACCTCACAACTCTCTTTTCCATGGGCACTTGCCATGTTTCTCCTGAGCTCTCCACAGGTGGCTCTGTCCTTGGTGATGCTCCTACCGCTCCCTTCCGTCCCCTCTCGGCTCACCCCCGCTCTGCTCTCTCTGCCAGGCAAGACCAGGACGAAAGACAAGTACCGGGTGGTGTACACAGACCACCAGCGCCTGGAGCTGGAGAAGGAGTTTCACTACAGCCGCTACATCACCATCCGCCGCAAGGCTGAGCTGGCTGCTGCCCTCGGGCTCACCGAACGGCAGGTCAGTGCTGCGGTGTCCCAGGAAAACCCACGTCCTGGGTGGAGATGGGGCTGGGGGCGGGGAAGAGCTGCAGCCCAAGAAGGCAGCCATCCCACCTTGCTCTGCATCTCTGCCTTCTCTTCTGAACTCCAGGATGTTCCCCCTGTGCCAGGGGGACCCCGATGTCACCCTTGGCTACATCTGTCCCCATCTCTGCATCGCTGTCTTTGTCTTTCTGCAGGTGAAAATCTGGTTTCAAAATCGGAGGGCGAAGGAGAGGAAGGTGAACAAAAAGAAGATGCAGCAGCAAAGCCAGCCCACCAGCACTACCACGCCGACCCCGCCAGCCGCCGGCACGCCAGGACCCATCGGAGGCCTCTGCAGCAGCAGCGCCCCAAACCTCGTCTCCTCATCTCCACTGACCATCAAGGAGGAATTCATGCCTTAACCCCTTCCACCAGCTATAGACACCAAGAGATAAGCACTATGCAGCAGAGCCCAGCCGGTCCGTGTGCTCTGAAGAGTGACAGCCCCTTCCCAAAGACACAATGGTCCCCAGCTGAACCAACAGGGCAGCCAGCAAGGCTGGGCGAGGTGGCACCGGGACCTTCCCAAGGGGCTGGTGGGCTCTCTCCTACGTAAAAACCATAGGTTAGGTAGCATTGCTCTCCTGTAGGAAACATAAACCGGTCTGGTCTCTGGTATTTGTAGCCCAAAGCAAGGTCCTAATGTCAGCAGAAGGACGGGTGGGGTGGTGGAGGATGGCTTTCCTATGGTGCTTCAGGTGGAGCTGGTAGGACGCTTCCTTCAGTCCTCCTGGTGATCCAGCTGCCTGGCGCTTTGGGGGCAGTTCGAATAAGATAGAACTAGAAAAAAGACCTGGCTGGACTCAGGGCAAAACAAATTTCTGCTGAGCTGGTCTCCTGGATCTGCCACGCTGGGAAGGTGGGTGCTGAAGGCAGAGCGAGTTGTACTGGAGGAGCCAGGCAGGACCCTCGGCCATGGGACCCGAGGGGGGACTCCTTCAAACCATGGCGATGGTGGTGAGCAGGAGCACGGCCTTGGTGAGAGTCCCAGCACATCCCCACCCACGTCCCCCAGCCATCCCAGCAGCACTCAGCA